TTTGCAGATAGTAACTACTATATATAAAGTAAATAAACAAGGTCCTGCTGTATAGCACAGGGAACTATATTCAATACTTTGTAATGGCCTATAATGAAAAAGAATACGAAAAAGAATATACATGTATAAATAAGTACGATGCTGTCCACCAGAAACTAACACATTTTAAATTGACCGCACTTCAATAAAAAGGTAGTATTTGGAAAAACCAGAACATATTATACAAATGTAAACTGACAGTTTTCCTCTTAATATTACCATCACCCCTGAACAAATTTAAGTTAGTAAAGAGGAGCTACGAAAGTAAATGTTGTAGTTTGCTTTTGTGATGTTGTACAGTTCCTTCTCCAAGTATCAAATGCTTTAGAGGTTTTCCTAGCATCCAGACAATGTACTGCCTCCACTTAGCCCTTGAAAAGTCCTGAATTAAAAATAGACTCTGGCTGTATTCTGAAACCTAAACCTATATGTTTTAAAGCAGTCAAAGGTCCCCCTTGGAGTTCAGAGGGGAAATGATTGCATCTCAGCACATTTAGAGCATATGCAAAGCCATGCCAAGAAAATCAGAGGAACCGAGGGTGTGTCTGCAAAGCTGCCGGTTCGTTACAGACTCACTGGTCTGTTGGTAAGCATCCCCAAGGAAGAAGGAGAGGGCTGGTGGCTAAGAGTTTGCAGGGAAAGAACTGCTGGTTCTAGAAGAACAGACACCAGCACTACACACAGCAGGTTCTTTGTCATCATGATTTACTGGTCTGCTAATCAGACTCTCCAGGTGGCATTTCAAAGTGTTTTCGCAATTTTAAAGCACATCGTGTTCGAGAGTGACAGTGTCAGAAAATACTAGTTTCTCCCATCTTGGCCACCGTGCGTAACGTCCAATGGGAAAAAGTCAAGTGATGGGGACTTCACTGCTAGCGACTTGAGAAACCACGTGCCACAGTGAATACCATCAGATATTTCCATGAAGCAGACAAGATGCTTTTTAATTATACCCAAGTGCATCAGTGCTAAAGCATTTACAGAGATGAGGAGGAGGAAACCTTGAGGTGACAGCCCTCCTGTAGCAGCAGAATATCTCCTTTTGTTTATTTCTCCCCATGTTATTAGTAGTGACATTAACAATGGTGTTCATACTGGTTTACCAACTGGTTTACAAGTTTTTCTTAGGCTTACTCATGGTTGGGTATGATCAGAAGCAAATAAAATATTTTATCCCTATCTCATCAAAAGGGCTAACTCCCTCAGAGCTGCTTCCTTTGCTGAGGTCAAACAGCCAGGCTTAAAAGAGTGTTTCCGACTCTGATTCTTTGATTTTGAAGAAAAAAAAGAGAGAGAGAGAGAGAGACCAGGAAGCAGCATGGGCTTTGCAGCCAGACTCTACCACACGCTAACAATGTGCGTGGGCCAAGTCACTTAACCTTGCTTAGCCTCAAATCCCCACCTGTAAAATGGGTGTGACTGTCACTACTTTTGCAGTGTGCTTAAAAGAGCTTAATGAGGTCAAAGACTCTGACATTAGAGGCAGCTCTGTGCTTGTTTATAACTTGGACTCTGGAGTCAAACTCCCCAGCTGTGAGCCCCAGTTCCACCTCTTCACTAGCTGTGTGACCTAGTGTAAGCTATTAAACCTTCCTGAGTCAGTAAAGTGGGGATGATAATAATATCTACCTCATAGGGTCGTTGCAAGGATAAAAGAGTTAATATAACCAAATGCACTTAGAATAGTGCCTGCCTTTTAGTAAACACTCTATGAGTATGTGCTATGATTATGATAGATGTGATTGTAAGTATTGTTACCCATATATCAAGTACCTGGCACAAATAGTTGATTAAAAAAAATTAACTTTTATTATGAGTTCTATTATTTTTCTCTTTAGAGCACTTGAATATTAAGGAGCCTAAAAAGAAAATAATAGTATTATACATCTTTTTTTTTGGTTTAACTAAACAGATGTCAGTAGAGTGCTTTCCAAAGTCTTATTCCTTCAGAGGCTCAAAATTGAATCTTATACAATAGGAGAAAGATTTCTTTTCAGTGCTCCTTTGAGCAAGAGCAGATTCTTGAGCCTCAATGCAAACTTTCTGAATCAGAAATTCTGGAGCTGCAACCCCTAAGTTGCTTTTGTTTTTGTTTTTCCATACCCATTGACTTTTTTTAAGGCCTGGTTTTTAGAGTAGTTGTAGGTTAACAGAAGAGTTGAGAGGAAGGTACAGAGAGTTCCCATACACCCCCTGTGCCCACACATGCACTGCCTCCCCCGTTATCAGCATCTTCCACCAGAATGGTTCATTTGTTACAGCTGATTAAACCTATGTACACACATCACTATAACCCGAATTCCATAGTTTACATTCCAGTTCACACTTGGTGTTGTACATTCTGTGGGTTTAGACAAATGCATATTTATGTGTATCCATCATAATAGTATCATACAGTGTATTTACCCTGCCCTGAAAATCCTCTGTGCACCACTTCCCTTCCCTCTGCCCGTGGCAACCACTGATCTTACTGTCTCTGAAGTTTTGCTTTCAGTCTGTTTTAACAAGTGTCCTAGTGATTTTTATACTTTCTAAAGTTTGAAAACATCAGATATAGTCTCCTGCAACTTTGACCACCTTCTGTTGCTGGGGTGAGGGGAGGGAGGGGTCAACCAAGAACTGGGTACTCTGTCTGTCTGACAGGTATTCCAGCAGATGACTAAATTAAGCAGACATACAGGTAGTTCTGGAAAGCAGAGTCAAGGGTGGGGTGCGAGGGAGAAAAAGCACTTTGAGAGCATGTGAGTCTGTTGATAGGTCTGGAACAGAACATTTCAGGGTATTGGGTTCTCTGGAAAGTACTGCTATCACATCTTGTCCTGTACTGTTCAGAGTGATGGATAGAAGAAGAGAAACCTTTTGAATTTTTATGTGAGGTTAAAATGAGAAAAATTCATTTCAGCCTTCTGAAGTCAGAGCTATTGGTACAAAAGGTCGCTGGTGCCAGTGAGTGGCATTGCAGAGCTCAGAGCTGGAGTATTAAAATAGCAACTTTTTGTTTCTTAAATACAAGTTGCGCTGTATGGGCTTGACTCTCGGCCCTTTGCCATTTTGCTGCTCTGGGATCATAAGTAAAAAGGCATGTGAAAAAAAGAAAAACATCCAGACATATCTCTACCTCTGTAGGACTGAGGTAGATACTTGTCCTCACACTGAGGGTAATCTAATAGTCTCAGTGAAGTAAGCAAAACGATTAAATGATGACCCCATGGGAAAGTGATTGTTCCTGGTTGTATAGTGGAGATGACTGAGCAGTACTGAGTGATTGTGACCATTTCAAGTGGAGTCAGCCCTGTACAAGATGTGGTTTGTTTGGGGTTCAGCCGTGGATTGACAGGATTACAGAGACTTAGGAGAGGAAACCAGTCTCAGGGGTGGGGTGGTTTGGTTGTAAGATATTAGTTTGATGCTGTATGTACTATGTTTGTGATGATAAAACAGCATCCAAATAAATTTAAAAGGTCTGAGAGTCATATGCAGAGAGCCAGTACTGGAAGCCGTTAAGAATGGATTGAGGGGGAGGGCATAGCTCAGTGGTAGAGTGTGTGCTTAGCATGCACAAGGTCCTGGGTTCAATCCCCAGGA